CAGGAAGAAGCACCAGCATTGTACCAAAGACAGGTATCCAAGCTGAAGGGGCAGGTGAGTTCGTTGAAGTTCAAGGTGGTAAGGCAGAAAAGCCAGCCACTTTGGCCGACCGAATCGTCCTTATATGCCACTCTGCTTCGAGCTTTGGGAAGCACGAGGCTCCGGAAATTTACAGATGGCAAGGCAAGCCGCTTGAAAGATCACCAAACTAGTAAAGGTCAGGGGGCAGGAAGGGGGCAGGAGGGGGTACCAGTAGGTAGGGGCGGGAACAAACGAATTTCTTGCCGGGCATCTGCGCGCCACTCTATTGTCCCGATGGGCACGAGCCCACTGAGGGGCCCCTGGGCACCCGAGTAGTCCATGCCGTTGACGCTGAGGATGTCGTAGTCTTCTTCCGTCGAAAAGGACAAGACATCGAGGGCCCAAACACGCTGCTGCGAGTTCTGAACCTCGAACATGCATGCATCACTGTCAGGATAGTGCGCTGGAAAATTGGTGCTGGAGATGCAGGCGCCATCGACGCGGCAGGACCTGCAGCAACTTGCAGGAAACGGTTGCAACTGCTCAGAAGCACTCAAATAGAACGAAATCAGCCGAAATCTTCTCGTTTGATGCTTCGGCTTGAAGCAGTGTCCAGCATTGCTGAGGAGCCAAAAAAACTAATTTGGTGAACTATAGCTATGCATCCCTATATCCTGGAACCGTCCCCCCTCAAGGGTTGGCTGAGGGTCAGGCCCGCTGAGCAACGTCCAAGGGGGGGACGTATCCTCCGCATTAGTGGGCGAGTCCGCTGCATCGATCGAGTCGATGCGCACCGCGTCCAGGTCGTTCGTGATGTTGGCCACAAAGCGCAGCCCTACCGTGCCGGAAGGGACGACGACGGATGCCTGATGCCAAGAAGTGTAGCGGGGGCCCGAATCCGAGAGTAAGAGCTGCCAGTCGCCCGCTGAACTCTTGTGCTGGAGCTCCAACGCCACAGAGTCTGAGCCGGACAGCTGATAGGCAATCACCAGGAACTTCTCCTCGGTGGTGTTGAAGACGGCCGCGGTATGCAGAATGTACTCCTGGCCTTGGGAGCCGCTCCGAGTAGCTTCGAGCCATCGGTCCCCGCCGCCTTGCCCCGCAAGCTGCCAG